TTGCCTAACAAACAAACAAACCTACTTCTCCATTTTAAATGTGAAGAAGAGCTGGTGGTACTTCTACCCTTAACTGAATAATAATTTATTAAGTTTAAGTGCTGCCCAACTCCAAGCAACTCTGAGCTTGACTGAAGCTGTTATCCCAGAGTTGATTGGAGTCAGTTGGTATCCAAGTCGAAATAAACAAATAAATAAATATATAGAGGAACTACTCCTCTGAATGGTGACTCTAATATATTCAAATGCATTATACAAGCTATGCCTTATTTTAAATACATAATAATATTTAAATATAGCTTTAAACAACATTAATGCAGAGGATGCCAGCCTGAAAAAAGAGAGACTATAATATGCATTAGGGGTAAATTGTGTTTGTTTATGCTTGAAGCTTAGAAAAGGAGAGAAGCCCAAAACTCATTTATCCCATACCGTAATCAGATCCATATCAGGTCCCCTTATCACATCAATTTTGATAACTACCCTCATGTTAAATATCCTAACAATATTTAGCACATTACGCTCAATGCTATTCATAGCATGCACATTTGTGAGTGAGCACTACACACTGTATTCCAAGCTGACCAAAATATGACTCTATTCTTAACAAGAGCAGAACCTATTAATTAAAAAGCAATAAAAAATGAAAAAAGAACAGAACCTTGAGGAAGTATACTAAATGTATGTGACAAAGAGATCATGCAGTCCACTTTTGAATATTGTGATTTGCTTTTTTTCATATATTTTTCAAAATGTGTGAGATTAGGGAATAACTTCTTGACTTCAGTTAAAATAGCATGAACACGTACTGAATCATTTTTTTCAAGTCTAAGGATTTTTTTTAAAAAGTTCATCATCTCCCATCTGTTTTCATATATTTTTCAAAATGTGTGAGATTAGGGAATAACTTCTTGACTTCAGTTAAAATATCATGAACACGTACTGAATCATTTTTTTCAAGTCTAAGGATTTTTTTTTAAAAGTTCATCATCTCCCATCTGAGAAATAGTAAGAGAAAATGCACGCGCGCGCACACAC